CGCTTTAAACTCGGTCATCTTGAATTGGATATTGAAACAAGTGCATTTAAAGATGACGAACACGGCTGGACTGACGGACGGACACACAGACAGACGGACGCACGCACGGATAAAAATGAAACTAAGTATTAGTAAGTTCCCGTATTTGGACACTGTCCAAGCGAGTTTTACACACCAGCCAGTCTAGCCCACCCCAATATGACAATCACCGATTGTATTATTTATGTCTAAGTGTGTTTGACTTAGTTTGGGAGTAAACACAATAAATAAGGTTAGAAAATAGAAACTAGGTTACGGGCGCTGAACTGGGAGTCCAATATTTGCATGACAATGTATGAACGGGGTGAACGTGAAGAAATTACGCCATATTTTGACCGTTTATAATGAGTCATATTCACCCGGTCAAGGATCGGTGGTGTATAAAAGCAAACAAGAGAGTCGAAGTATTTTAAAAGATTGTTGAGAATCATGGAGTTGAAATCGTGTTTACTGATCGCTTCACTGTTTGTCTTGGCTGCTACCGCAGATAGACCAAGAGTGGATGTTTCTACCGGTACGTTGATCGGCACTGTCACTGAGTTTAGCAACGAATATGTTGACGGTACACACACAGTGCATGTGTACCGGGGTGTCCCGTATGCTGAGCCACCTGTTGGCGAGCTGAGGTTTGCTCCACCGAAACCCAAAACACCATGGGAAGGGGAATACGATGCTAAGGATTTCATCGCTGCGTGCATACAACCATGGACCCCAACGGTACCGATCGATAAGATCCAAGATGAAGATTGTCTTCATTTAAACGTGTTTGTACCGAAAACACAGGTGAGTTCAAAGATGAAATATTGACAGAAATTATTAAAAAAAAATAGTATAAACATGTATTAATTAATTTGTAGTAACACGATTTACACTTTACTCGCTGAAAAATTCATGACAACATGAAGACTATTTAGCTGGAGGCGGCACATATTGCACTACTGTCTATACCAGTGGATGTAACGGCCTGACGCTACCCAAGGCTGGACTCGTACCTTAAAATGTAATAGTGGACCGCATGACTGTCGATACCAGTGGATTGTAGCGACCTGACGCAATCCAAGGCTGTATTATTACCTTAAAAGTTAAAATATTGCACCACTGTTGATACCAGTGACGGTTAGCGGCCTGACGTTACGTAAAGCTGGACTATTACCTTATAAGGCATTATATTGAACCACTGTTGATACCAGTGGATTGTAGCGTTCTGACGTTATCCAAGGCTGTACTATTACCTTATAAGGCATTATATTGAACCACTGTTGACACCAGTGGATTGTAGCGGCCTGACGCTATCCAAGGCTGTACTATTACCTTATAAGGCATTATATTGAACCACTGTTGACACCAGTGGATTGTAGCGGCCTGACGCTATCCAAGGCTGGACATTGCCTTTAAAAGGTATTATATTGCACCCCTGCGAATACAATGAATGTTAGCGGTCTGACTACACAATGCTGGGCTCTCACCAATGTCGATATCAGTGGATTTTATGATGTCATCACTGACCATTATTCGCCATAATCGAATCTTATAATCTCATTGTACCTAGTCCCGTACCTTGCACACAATCTTGTATTCGTAACAAAATACAGAAGAGGGTACTCTCTGCGCCACAAAGGCATTCCCTTTCATCTTTATAAGTCTTCATAAATTTCAATCGCAGTTGATTTCAACCAGTCAATCAACAAGCACGGTGCGCAGCTACGTCATTTGAAAACGTTCCAATATTATTCAATTGGCCAATAGAAACCCCTCATTTTAATTTTAATTGAATAAATAAAATATAGATTGTAATACATATGGATGTGTAACATGTCGCAACAGGTTTTACACTCCAAAAGTTATGAATATTATCTGCTGAAGTTATTTAAGTAATCTAATTCTCAGCAAAATAAATTAAATTTTCGGCAAATTTGAATAATAATATAAAAGAGAACAGGTATGTGAGGAATACTCTTTTCTAGCTGTCAGTATGTTGAGAGCCTAGTCATTGAACAAATATACAGTCATTTTAGATGATTGTACATTGAATGCTTTGTAATGACAGTGATAGATTGGTTTCATTCACGTCAATGCAGACAATATTTACTGTGTACGTGTTCGTCTATTGAAGGTGATACTGCACATTTACTGTGTTTATTGACATATTTACCTTCCCACTGTTTTGTGGGTTCTCTCAGTAGCCGGGATATGTTGTGTGATTTTGGCTCCACGGCCAGTGTGTAACTGTGACGTTCATTGGTTGATAATAATGCTGCTAATTTGAATATGCTAATTTTCTGAACAACTTGTGTGTTCTGTGGGAAGTCGTATTTTTGGACGTAATATTCTTTATAATACCGAATGTCCAGCAGTCAGACAAGACAAGTACTTTCAAGAGTAGAACACAAGTTGTTTATTCGTGAACATAACATAGAAGAGCCCTGAAACAATTACAATGGATGCTTATATACCCTCGTGGGGATTCTGAATTTGAGCGGGAAACTTAGATACAAATATACAATACTTCGATTGGTCAATAGAAATGTTGTGGTGTTGCCTCTCATGTTCGCTCATAACACAGTGTTCAAGGTCGTATCCCGTTTTGTTACATTCAAGCTGAGGCGGTATAAACGATGTATATAGCAGTATAATAATATAAAACGATACACAATATCAATAATAATAGTAAACAATAAACATATTCATATCTATTTCCGACATGTTCTCTGCACGCGCTGTATCAACCGACAGTAGCCACAGAGACAAACATGTGACCACACGTTCTTCATGATATTGGAATAAATTCACAAGGTTAATAAGCAAAATCTAACAGTTCTAGACTATTGAGAAGAGTACCCACGGACTCACGAAATAAAACGAAGATAATCGGGCTATACTCCCGGCGCAACAAATTCTCAATTCAAACTGAACTAGAGGTTCCTATTGGCCGATTGTGAATAACATTGGAACGTTTTCAATGACGTAGTTGCGCACTGTACCCATTGATTGAAAATCACACATCAATATGCATCCATGTAATCAAATTGCCGAGGTGGATTTCCTTTCTAATAACCCACACATCAGTTGCACACACACATGTATGTGTGTGTGTAGCTTTTTAAAATTGATTTTGTGAGCATTTTTTGAAAATTCATGAGCAAATTTCAATTGATATGAAAAATAAAATAAAAGCTAATGTATTATAATAATTTAAAAAAATGCATTCACGTAAATTTTCGAAAATTCGACTATTTTCAGGGCACCACGTCAACAACATTTCATTGAAGTCTGCTTGGCTATCAGTTTTAAAAGCTGGTAGTCCCATAGTAATATTGAGTGGCTCGTCAGCTTTAGTGGGTACTTTACATAGCCGTGCAGGTTTAGTGGGTACTTTACATAGCCGTGCAGGTTAAGTGGGTACTTTACATAGCCGTGCAGGTTTAGTGGGTACTTTACATAGCCGTGCAGGTTTAGTGGGTACTTTACATAGCCGTGCAGGTTAAGTGGGTACTTTACATAGCCGTGCAGGTTTAGTGGGTACTTTACATAGCCGTGCAGGTTTAGTGGGTGCTTTAAATAGCCGTGCAGGTTTAGTGGGTACTTTACATAGCCGTGCAGGTTTAGTGGGTACTTTACATAGCCGTGCAGGTTTAGTGGGTACTTTACATAGCCGTGCAGGTTTAGTGGGTACCTTACATAGCCGTGCAGGTTTAGTGGGTGCTTTAAATAGCCATGCAGGTTTAGTGGGTACTTTACATAACCGTGCAGGTTTAGTGGGTACTTTACATAGCCGTGCAGGTTTAGTGGGTGCTTTAAATAGCCGTGCAGGTTTAGTGGGTAATTTACATAGCCGTGCAGGTTTAGTGGGTGCTTTACATAGCCGTGCAGGTTTAGTGGGTGCTTTACATAGCCGTGCAGGTTTAGTGGGTGCTTTACATAGCCGTGCAGGTTTAGTGGGTGCTTTACATAGCCGTATAGGTTTAGTGGGTAATTTACATAGCCGTGCAGGTTTAGTGGGTACTTTACATAGCCGTGCAGGTTTAGTGGGTACTTTACATAGCCGTGCAGGTTTAGTGGGTACTTTACATAGCCGTGCAGGTTTAGTGGGTAATTTACATAGCCGTGCAGGTTTAGTGGGTGCTTTACATAACCGTGCATGTTTAGTGGGTACTTTACATAGCCGTGCAGGTTTAGTGGGTGCTTTACATAGCCGTGCAGGTTTAGTGGGTGCTTTACATAGCCGTGCAGGTTTAGTGGGTGCTTTACATAGCCGTGCAGGTTTAGTGGGTACTTTACATAGCCGTGCAGGTTTAGTGGGTGCTTTACATAGCCGTGCAGGTTTATTGGGTGCTTTACATAGCCGTGCAGGTTTAGTGAGTGCTTTACATAGCCGTGCATGTTTAGTGGGTACTTTACATAGCCGTGCATGTTTAGTGGGTACTTTACATAGCCGTGCAGGTTTAGTGGGTGCTTTACATAGCCGTGCAGGTTTATTGGGTGCTTTACATAGCCGTGCAGGTTTAGTGGGTGCTTTACATAGCCGTGCATGTTTAGTGGGTACTTTACATAGCCGTGCAGGTTTAGTGGGTGCTTTACATAGCCGTGCAGGTTTAGTGAGTGCTTTACATAGCCGTGCAGGTTTAGTGGGTACTTTACATAGCCGTGCAGGTTTAGTGGGTGCTTTATATAGCCGTGCAGGTTTAGTGGGTGCTTTACATAGCCGTGCATGTTTAGTGGGTACTTTACATAGCCGTGCAGGTTTAGTGGGTGCTTTACATAGCCGTGCAGGTTTAGTGGGTGCTTTACATAGCCGTGCAGATTTAGTGGGTACTTTACATAGCCGTGCAGGTTTAGTGGGTGCTTTATATAGCCGTGCAGGTTTAGTGGGTGCTTTACATATCCGTGCAAAAATTGAAAACAGATAAATATAAGTAATAGTTTTGTGTCTATGATACGTATAGTTTTAAAGACAAACTGATATTCAAAAAAGTCATTCTGGTAAATTTCTAGTATTTCAGCTGGAAGACTAACTTTGGAAATGGAGTTTACGGTCTGTGTGTCTTGCTTTAAAAACCCAAAGCCCTGACATGCTATCTTTAGTTTTCTTATATTTGGTATCAGGTTATTGACAATATGCCAGACTTTATGTTTTATTACATCTTACAAACTATTGTCCTCGAAGCTACGCGAATGTTGTAGCTTTCGTTTTTCGTTTGGCAGTGTTTTATTCGTTGATATACACTGCCAAACATAGACACATTTTAGAGTTTGAATTATTTCAATTTTATTTGGAATATGAAAATATATTTTTAGATGAAAATTAACTGTTTAAAGAGTGTTGTTTTGTGTTTTGACGTTGACAATTATTAGCATTGCTATACCGGAAGTTATTGCAGTGACACAAGTAAAGTAATTGTAGTTATTATCACAAAATTAATAAAAATGATAAAAGTTAACTAAATCAGCTGGAAGTTTTTCAAATAAATTAAATTTAGCAGTTTTAAATGAAAATGACAAAAGTATTCACTCATACCAACTTTTTCAATAGAAGGTAATAGACTTCTATTCATAAATCTTAAGAGTCTATAAGTTACAAAGTATGTATGCTATAAATAAACTACATGACCTACATTGCACGATTTGTAGTTAAGTTACGCTTTACAATCTGCAAAATGACACGCCGAGACACGTATATCCTGAACAATTAGTCACATGACCAAAAGTAGAATAAAAGTTATTATTGGTCTCTTTTTATTTGTTTCAGAGTGGTGTAAAGTCTGTAATGATGTGGATACATGGAGGGGTTTTTGTCATGAGTTCTGGAACTGAGCCTCAGACATGGGTCACGTGACCGAAAGTAGAATAAAAGTTATTATTAGTTTCTATTTATTTGTTTTAGAGTGGTATCAAGTCTGTAATGATGTGGATACATGGAAGAGGTTTTGTCATGGGTTCTGGAACTGAGCCTCAGACATGGGTCACATGACCAAAAGTAGAATAAAAGTTATTATTCATTTGTTTCAGAGTGGTATAAAGTCTGTAATGATGTGGATACATGGAGGGGGTTTAATGTCTGGTTCTGGAACTGAGATGTATGATGCCACTATTCTATCTGCATTGAATGACGTCATCGTGGTTACTATCAACTATCGTTTGGGACTGTTTGGCTTACTCAGTACAGGTAAAAATGACGTCACAAAATCTACTCAGTATTTTGTAACTAGTTTCCAAATTACAGAATTCATTAATTCAATTATTTGTTGATGCAGGTGATGAAGAAGTACCCGGCAATGTTGGTTTTTTAGATCAAGTAGAAGCACTTCGTTGGATTCAACAGAATATTGCAGGTATATATTTGTTTCAAAATTGACCTCAGATATTGATACAAATACAATAGAGATTCTATGTACTGGATGTGCTACAGTAGTCTAGAAAATATATAGGATGACATTTTGTATTATACATGTATTAAAATACTGACAGCCTCCCATAGATAACGTATGATATTTTGTATTATGCATGTAGTAAAATACTGACAGTCTCCCATAGAGAATGTATGACATTTTGTATTATGCATGTAGTAAAATACTGACAGCCTCCCATAGATAACGTATGATATTTTGTATTATGCATGTAGTAAAATACTTAGTCTCCCGTGGAGAACGTATGGTATTTTGTATTACGCATGTAGTAAAATACTGGCAGCCTCCCATTGAGAACGTATGACATTTTGTATTATGCATGTAGTAAAATACTGAGCCTCCCATAGAGAACGTATGACATTTTGTATTACGCATGTAGTAAAATACTGACAGCCATAGCGCAAATGCCATGTCATTTCTACAGAGCATAGTTTCCCATAGCGCACATGCCATGAGTATTGTCTGATTGTTGGTTTTTCACGAAATCCTTGTACTCATTTCTATAGCATTCGGTGGTGATTCTTCCAGAGTTACAATATTTGGTCAGAGTGCTGGTGGTGGAAGTGCACATATTCACACCATATCTCCTCTAAGTAAAGGATTGTTTAAGAGAGCTATTATACAGGTGAGTTTTCAGTAACGTACCCAAATTGGCCTCTGGTGACAGGAAAAGGCTAGGTGTCTTCTGAGTAACAGCTGAACAAAGTTGACCATTCGCAATCTTCACACATATAATTTGAAGATCAGATTCAAAATGGCCAACGGGCAGTAATTTTGTTTAAATAAATGCTGTTCTGAAACAATATCTCTGACACAGCTTGACCGAAACTTCAAACACACAGCAAACAACTTAGGATGCATATGCACGTGTATTTTTTAAGCGATCCGACTCACGATGAGCGAATGACGACGATTAAAGTAATCAAAATCAAATTATGTCATTCTAGATTTCGTTCGAACTTCACACATTCTTATTATAAATCATGTCACACTTTTGTTTCGCTAAAACATTGATTTGTGGCATACCGAGTCTTAAACATTAAAAATCGGTTTGTAATTGTCGTCAATGAATGCCATTCGTGTCACATTCATTCATCTTTGTCTGGTTTGTGTATGCCCCGGGCTTTCCAGCTGGAATCAAGACAAATGGGACTTTGGAGAGTTATGTTCGATTGTACTGGAGGTATGACTGAACTTGGTATACATAACAAATCACATCCTTACTATCTCACAAATAGTGGATTTCTCTGCTATGCGGCACAAACGGGCTAGCAAGCACCCTCTATAGTGGCTAAATATTATATCAACAGGGACATCAGTCTAAATGCACTTCGGCATTCCTAAATATGCAATATTTCAACCGACAAATGTCACTTATATTGTTTATTAATTCCCGCCAAATACTTACTATTGAGTGACATATACCGGTATATAAAATCACTACGACCTCAAATTATTAGGGGGTACTGATTACTTATTCCATTGTAACACAGAAAACAGTAGCCTCTTCTTTTTGGTAGAATCTTCTTCAGTTAACATATTGTTTAAATTGTTATCCTAGGTAGGATTAATGTCTGGCAACAAAATCGGTCATGTCTATTAATGACAAATCTACATATTTGACGGCAATTAATAAACAATAATACTAGGGGTGAGCCACAGTTTTTAATATCTTAACTTAACATTTTATCCGATTTTTTGCACAGAGTGGTTCTGCATCCTTGCCTGGAATGTGGCAATATAATACAACATTGTCTAACCTGATTGCCCATGGTGTTGGCAAAATTGTTGGATGTGACGAGAATACTTCCAAGGATTTAGTTGATTGTATTCGTAATGTACCAGCTGACCAGTTAAGAAATATATCAGACCCATCAAATGTAAGTAATGTAATGCATCTCCAGAGCTATTTCATTTATACATGTCTTCATCAGTTTCAAAATGTATATATACACTCTACCGAATATACGCACATCTATTTCTTTTGTGATTCGATTGTGGCTGACTAGTGGTCATTTTAATGTGAGCAATTCAATCAAAAACTTCTGGAACCGGTTCGCGGTAATGTATGGATGCATTTTGTTCACACTTGATGCTTACATTGGACATTGTGGAAATTTCATACCCGTCTGTCTGTTTTTCAGATCAAAATCAAAATGGCTGAATGGTGGCCATTTTGTTCCAATGAATACTAAGCAAAATCTATCATGAATATTCATGTCCGAATTGTATATATAAATCATACGTAATGTCACACATGTATTCATTTGATGATACAATTAATAATAGTCGAATGGTCGTCATTTTAATATTTTAAAATTATTTTTAATCTTTTTGATTACTGATATTAGCTTTCTTTCCTTTTCTAGGGTTTACTTGCTAATGCACTTGGAATGCCTGGAGTTCAATTTGCATTTCTTCCTACAATCGATGGATATTTTATTACGGAGGATCCAATGGATACAATTTTTAAAAAGAAGGCATTCAATGACGTGGATTTGATGATAGGTACAGTTTCCAATGAAGGAATGATGTATCTCTTCTCCCTCTTTCCAGATGCAGAAAGCGAAGGTCCTCTGACATTAAACAAGACTACATACGAGGCAATGTATCCCCATTTCTTCTTTACTATACAGCCAAATGAAGCAGTGTTAGATATGACTAAACTACTGTACGTTGACTGGGCTCATGTTGATGAAGAAAACGCCAATTATTTAGATGCATTAAGCCAGATGACAAGTGATGTATTCTTTATATGTCCCATTAACCGTGCAGTACGTGCCGGTGTTGAAGCCGGACTCAATACATACGTATATCAAATGACACATGTACCTGCAATGACAATATGGCCTTTGAAAACTGGCACAGCCGTGCATGGTGATGAACTAGGATTTGTTTTCGGTTACAACATGCTTTCCGAGAAACAGATGGTACTTGGCGGAGATAACACAACCATGTTTAAATGGACTACAAGTGAAGTAGATGCTGAGCTGTCTTTACAAATCATGACATACTGGACTAATTTTGCTAAAACTGGGTGAGTGCAACCAATTTGGTTTAGTAGATTGTGATACGTATATGCTGTTTAGTCATATATTTAACATACTACATGCTTTTCTCATACTCCTAATACCGCATATACCAAATCCGTAAATAAAAACATTTTTTTCGGTCAATCATTTGAAAAAGAATTTTTAGACTGTTAAGGATAATATGCACCTTTTTAGGCACTTTTTAACTAAAAGTCACTTTTTTACTTTCACATCATGCTGTGAAAATTTAATTTCTTTATTGTCAATACAAATGTAATCATATGACGCTCAGGGTCCTAGGATTCCTGACACTATTCCAAAATTTCGCGATTTTCACCAACTAGCGAAATTCCCGAAAAATTAAAGCGGTTTACAGAACTTCTGTCATTGAAATGTTGTTTGATTGTTGTATCGAGGCGATGAGCAATATACATTTATACCGACACCATTCCTAAGGAAACGTTAGGTTAAATTAAACCAATTAGCATAGAGTCGTTTTGCGGATTTCATGAATTTAAAGTTGCCATATTAACTATTCTACATAAATAACACAACAAGATGAATCTCATCTAATGTTTGTCAAAATGAATATAACAAAAACTAGACATACACCATACATTCACAGTACCCACTTTATGATATGGACATGTATTCACATTAGAGATTTGTTTGAACAGTAAATAAATTTATTTTCAAAATTGTACATTTATATATATATATATTCCAGTAATCCTAATCTCAGTTCACTGAGTGACGAATCAAATGACGATGATTGGCCAATGTTCACCATACCTGGTTTAGCATATAGAGAGTTATCACCATCCATGGTGAATCGTTATGCATTAAAGGCAAGACAATGTGTATTCTGGGATGAATTTGTACCAAAACTTCTGCAGTATTCTGGTGAGTTGATACAAAATGCTTCAATGATGTTTCACGGTATCAGGTTTATTTATAAGGTTCCTAGTAATCACATGACTGGGTAATTGTGGTAGAGATACAATACGTAATAAGAGATTGGTACAACTAAAGTGTTTTAAATAGTATAATATAATATGTTTACTACAATCGACATATCATAGGTGACTGGCAAACGCTCATTCTTGCCTGCCAAAATAGTTTTTACCCCATGAACTCTGGCAAAATACAGCAACACGGTCTGTAGTTGGGAACTATGATTTGACTATTCACGAGTAAACCAAATCAGTGCGTGTTGTCGAAGGAGGAACAGAGCGTCTGCTTTTACAAGTTTATTGATTGATTCCGTGTAATGGGAGGGACGCTGACTAAATTGCAGGTTACTGAATACTATGCAGAGATATTTAACACGATTTTCTTGTTTCACAATGATGAAGCATCAAGTAGAATAATAAGCATATGTGAACACGTCTTATTTACATCGTACCCGTGTTTCAATCTCGCGATTAGAAATGCAGGTTCATTTATATATTGCTCACAATACTAATTTGTCTACATATTTGTTTGTAAAAATAATAATGTGTGTTATGAAGCCCAGTATAATGTATTCACTCAAAATAATGCATTCACACATGGTTATGATGTTTTTTTTCCTCTCTTTAAGGCGAGTCATGTGACCAGAAAGAAAATTCTATATGTACTTCTGCTGCCGCCCTGGTGATCTCTTCGGCAGCAGTGCATCTATTTTGTTGTACTGCTGTAGCACTGAAAGTGATTCTTCCCTTGTGAAAAGATACAGTCGATCCAGACATCTTGGTTTGCATGGCTCTGAACGGAAAAGCTTCTGAATTGCCAGTTTAGTGTGTATTTACATACATATGGCAATACAATGAATATATGCTTATTTTTGTGGGGTTGAATGTATTTAGCTTTTATTTTTGCTTGTTTTTCACCATTTTTTCATTCCATGTTGTGTTGTTCATGTGATCGTGTATTCATTCACAATTAGTGGTAGTTGTACACTATATCATATCTTTTAATGTATAAGAAAATTCGCTGATCTGGAATCCCCTCTATATCCAATTAGATGTAATACCTTTATTGAGTGTGGTATATCCAGCAACCTTGTGTGGCATTTACCTAACTATCCCGAATAGCGCCCTCACCGTTCACTTTAATTGACTTGGCTGTGTGAACTTTCATCTCTTTATATGCTATTTTATATATGCCGCAAGAAAATAAAGATTCAATATTATTACCAACAAAGATTCATTTGAACTGTTGTGTGTGCTATGTGTTCAAATACAGGCAAGAACAGTACTAGTACTATACCAATTTCAATATAAAGCAACAAGAAAAAGCCTTTGATTATGCAACTTGAAGTTCAACCTTAACAAATTGTACAATGAGTTAGTACAGTACATATCCTATTTTTTGTTGTTTACGTTTTCACTTCCACGGATTACATAATTTTTGCCTGGTTATTAGTGCCAAATATTTTACATATGAACGCTTCCTATTCTGTTTTGTGTAAAACGTGTTATTTTCTAGTGATGCCTCAGCTAAGCCTTCTAACGGAATCGCACAGGGTTATTTTTTTAATCCACTAATAACATTGGTTTTATTGTTATCGTTTGTAATATGTCATCTCATCCAATTCCACCTCGGAGTGTCATTCTCATCAATAAATACAATTCACCATCAGTTCAATCAGAGTCAAATTCGTGCTGACAAAAAGTCATATCTCAAGTAACTAGAGACTTGTGTATATAGCTTGGGATTTGTTGAAGGTGAATATTATTTTTGCTTGGTGTGTCTGCATTACCTATATATATATTTCCCAAACAATTCTCTAGCCAACTCAATGTATCCGTTTACTGCATCAGTTGAGAGCATTAGTATATTAGAAATAGTTAAATATATGCTATACGCATTTAAAATTAAAGATGTGCGATGTAAACAAATTTACCTCTTACGTCACTTGTATAATTTTGTCTTTACATTTGCACCTTATTATTGCTGTGCTTGCCTTGAATAGAAGAGAATCATTAGATGATGAATCAACTTTTCTACGGATATTATCTATTAGCATTCTCTTCTAAAGCCATAGTCTCAAGATGTAATAAACACGTTTCTACGTAGCCTGTGTATTTTTATATAAGTCTTTCCATTCGGATGCATTTTGCGTGTAAACTCAACTGTGACTTGAAAATATGGCATGTTTGATAGCATTTAAAAATATATTATGTGTCAAATTTATCGGTTGGAGCAAATTCTATTATATATATTTATATATATGTTGCTTGCCATGGTTTTGCAGAACAAATATTTCAATATACTTTTCATGTGTGTCTATAAATTGGATGCACTACAACATTAATATTTTACTAGTATATTAACATTACGTTCCTATCTCGATATGATGAATTGTTAAATTAAATTAAAATAGGAAACTCTCCCGTGGCAATTGACTAGTAGCAAACAAGTACATTGCTGACAACCCTCTTTCTCTGTAACCGATATCGGTAAAGTCGTTTACTTAGCTTTAGGGCTATAAGTGCGGATTTTGTGATATTGTCGTCAGAATAAAAGGAACGACTGGTTTTAAATTACTTGTAGCCATGATGACAAATACATTTTCGAACTGATTTTAAATTAAAACTTTTTTTATAAGCATTGTTTTTTCCTGTGCATATGCGTTAAAGTTAAATTTGCTGAACTCATCTTTTAGTTGTAGCTATGGAGACATGCGTTTTTTTCGAACAGTAATTATTATGAATGATACTGTAGTTATTGTCTATGATGTAATTGAAATGCTGGTTTCAAATTACAGAATTCATGCTTCATATTAAACAGTGTATTAAATCTACTTTAAATTAAGCCATTTTTTTGGCAATCGCAACGTGTACTCAAGCATTGGCCATTGTTCTGTTAACATAAGACTTCCAAATTAAAATGGGTTAACTTCGTCAATTAAAGCTGTTGACATTGGCGTGAACTGAGTTACTTTTCATACTGCAGGCAAAATCAAGAAAAATAGTACGAGGTTGGATACCACATGTCAAAATCACAATCTTCGGCACAGCAATGCATTTTCTAGTTTGTAACGTAGTGTAGGGAGTATAGTACACATGTAACAAATTGATTAGTTTGTCTCATTTCTCATGGTAACCAGAGTTATTACACGTATTTTACACGTGTAAACCATCTGATATCACTCGTTGTTTATCATACATGGTGACAATTGAATATTAAAATGAAATGAAATAAAAAATACATGACATTCGGATGAAGCTGACTTATAGTCGTTTTTCAATTCAATCGCACCAAGAAGTAAAACTCATTATAACGTAACGTTACATATGATAGTTGCATTATGTATACACTTATGTATTTTTGTAGAAGTGTCTTTAATTTAAAGCCTCGTTTCTGTCATATTAGTGTGGAAGAAGTGGTCTAAACGCCGCTGTGTAACATATGTTTTTTGAAATGGACTCCCTAAAATCAAACAAATAAGTGTCGCTGACCATTTTGCACTGAAAAGCACCTGTTCTGTTCTGCCTCGAAAACGAGGCTTTAAATTGAAATCGAGGCTCAACCTACTCGTAAACCTATATAACAATTATTGCACATATGGACCTTGTCGGCAAGTATCAAGTGTTTTCGTAGCGATGGCTATTACTGTCAAGCGATTAATTTTGACGTTTCTTTGTGTGTATTCCCTTGCCATCATTGTGTATTTTAGCAGCAACACTACCAAGAGTATCAGGTAGGTTTAACTAACATACTTAATAATATTATAATCGGGGAAATCTAACATATGTTATAGTACAAGGCTGTTGGTTGTTATTAAACGTTACATAAACGTTATTTTAGTGAAAGGTGAAAATAGACGATTTGAACGTTCAATGCGGCAATATCCATGCATACTCCTCACCTTTGCAACAACGTTACCAATAATGCGGAAACAAATTTCCAGTGAAAAAATAGTGTATTTTCAACCATAATATTCATCAACTGAAATGATGGGTTATATGTGAACACAAATATTTAGTATAATTGAAATATTGCTGATTTATGTATGTTCTTTCGAAATATAACACTAAGTGAAATTCTGTGTCGGGGGGGGGGGGGTCAACGCAACCAACTTATTTTGACAAGTGAATTCAGAATAAATTATGATTATTTCACACAAAATGTACTAAATATGCACACCAATAATAAATTTGATAATTACCGATTGCACATGAATATTAAAGACAAAACATAATCCTTTATATTCTCGATATTTCACTTTTTTATGACTGAAAGCAGCTGAATTGAATTACAAAATATATATCATGTAAGAACAATAACGTAAATAAACACTATTTTACTTGGTAAAAATACTGTATTTTCCTCAATAAAAACGAAAAAATGTCAGTGTCGAAAACGGAAAGTCTTCATCGTAGTGTTATATAAAGTGACATTACTGGAAGCCGCTCACTATATATATATATTATATATAATATGTAGTTTGCGCTGTGCGATCACACCGTTTTGAATGTGTTTATTCAAGTTATTTTTCATATTTTAGATTTGCACTTGCCAGCCAGGTCACCATCAAATATGATTTGTGAACATGCTAGGACATAAATATCCAAAGGATGAAATGTAACCATGGAAACACTGTTAGCGAATTTGTTGCAATTCAATTCATTGCCATGAAAGCTTTGACGAATGGAACTATTCATAGAATTTCTGTAACTGCTAAATCACAAATATGCAAATACAACCATTGGAGACGCAGCACATATGGATGATATAAACTGTTCTCTCCGCTCTCCCCGGTATGCACGAACATGCTTGGACATTACGTAAAATATAGTTTAACCTAGAATTATGTGATCAGCCACATCTAACGTTAGTTTGACTCTATAGTAGAACATGGTACGGTATTTGTGTATGTTCCTTGGTACTGGTTCTGAACGTTTTTGAGATATTTCATAAATAGAAACAATTATACGAACTATAATAATGTGTGCATGAACTATGGTGTCATATATATATATAATACTACACATTCACGGTGAATATATAACCTAGCGTTGTCATAAATTTAATATTATGAATAGTCGTATAGAACGTGTTTGGTTGTGATTTGTGTGACATCGCATTTAATACACATTTTAACTAGTAACGTTAGGATAAATATAATTGAATAGGATAAGGAAGCCGATGTGTTACTGACTAGTAATCAATACCCCGCTGAAGTGAACAACTATTCACTATTCTAATATTGGCGGGTGGCTTCATGTAAATTATCGTTGCCGTATAGCTACTTAAACTCAACATGAAGGACCAAGCAGGCGTATTTTGTTTTGGAATGTACTTGTCTATATACGCTAGGTAGGTTAGTGGGTTTTGATGTTAGAATTTAGGATAGGTATGTTGAATTAGATCACACACATCACTGCAGAACACGTTGTGTATTTGGAAAAGTTGTTCACTGTACTGAATATTGGGAACAAAACAAGTGGTGTGGAGAAAAAATTCAATGAATGAAAATATTTTTGACACGCTAACCAATATGATACAATCAGACTGTTATAAATAACGTAATAACATGGAAATTCAACAGATGATGTTATTGGTTAATTTATTAATTATCGTTCTTAGTCGTAATGAAAGGTTAATGTGAACTACAATACACTTGAAATACATTTTAATTTGATGGCACGACATCGTTCACAAAGTACGCAAATGAATTTGATAATTACCTCCAACCACACAATTAATAGTACTATTTTGAAATGTACGACGAAATCAAAACACAACGGTTCATGCTCTGAAGCGTTTCCATGGTGAATGAAATACAAAGTAACGTGCTTTTCCATGCGAATTCGAACTCAAAGTCACGTGTTTTTATCAATGAAGCTATAGTCTGATACAAGATCTATTCGTATAGTTTTGAAATTGTTTCGAGTTGCTATGAGAACGTTGATTGATGGATCAAGCTCTGGTTCGTGGGAACGGTCAGCAGAATTGTACGAACTGAACGATGTCACTTCTCTGCCATGTTAATAACTAAGTCCTGTTGGTGCAAGGTACTTGGTAATTTAGATACATTGTCATGGTTACTTTGATGCATTGTGCATTAAGTGGTTAAACGGTTTTCATAATGACACTGTATGGTCTTTATGCCGATCGCTTTTGAATCAACCAGTACATTTTACACGTGTTGTATGTTTCGCATGGAAACCGTAGTATCCAGGGTACGGTTACGTATCATGTACAGTGTATGTAAACAACAATATATACAAATAATAATAAATTCATAGGATTGTGCTGTGTTTGGCCATACTTATGGTGGCGCTGTTATGTTTGCACATAACTAAAACAAAGAATGGATTTATAAAACAATTACAATTACGTAATCGTAGTGGCAAAACTAAATATAATATATATAGGCGACGTTCTAGTCTGGTATGACAAGCTATTTACATATCTGTGTAAATAGCATGCATGTCCTGAGAACACTGTGAAGGATTATATTCACAGATCTAGCAATGGAATAAACGTGTAGAATTTGACTCAATTAGTTTGTAGAGTTCAAATGTCTATCAGTAAGTTAACATATATTCTTCTCAATAACTCGAACGTGATCGGACGATTTATCGAGTGATTGTACCACACTTTATTAACATTTCTAATGCACGTATTTTTTACAGGCACTGGTTTGTCTCTACTTACAGAACGCCTTCACATTTGGCACACAGAAACAAAACGATGCTTGTAACTACAGAAGAAACGCCGATCAATAAACCTACATGCAGACCAAGAAATAATGTTGTGTTTTTAAAGACGAGGAAAGCCGGCGGAACAACGGTGCAGAATATTTTGTGCCGGTATGGAGACAGAACCAACTTGACATTTGTGCTTCCACATAAAGGATGGATTCTCGGCTATCCAATGGAATTCCAAAAGAAATATGCAATAAGTCCGCCCTCAAGCGGCTACAATATATTCTGCCACGAGGCGAGATTTAATAATGACGTCATTAAAGATATGATGCCAAATAATACAGTTTACATCACCATACTACGTGAACCTGTCACCCACTATGAAAGTACGTTTACTTATTTTGAAATTGGCAAACAATGTGGGGTTACTACCTCTAGTGTCGACTCTCTAGTTGAGTTTTTTGAATCTTCATCTAAGTGTTACAAGAAAACTCGTAATAACCATATGTTGTTTGGTTTAGGGGTCACGTCGCCCAACGACGATGATAATGAAATTAACAGACGTATAACAATTCTAGAAGATCAGTTCAACCTCGTGATGATAATGGAATACTTCGAGGAATCACTAATTCTGTTGAAAGATCTTTTGTGCTGGACATTCGAGGACATTACATATTTTGAGTTGAATGGTAGAAAAGACAATTCTGTTCATAATATGTCAGAATCGCTAAGAAACACAATTATGGAATGGAACAAAGGAGACGTAGCACTATACCAACACTTCAATAGAACGTTTTGGGGAAAAGTGCGCGATTTCGGTGAAGAGAGAATGAGAACTGAGGTTGAAATTTTAAGACGACGAAACCAGGAATTTAAAGCAAGATGTCTACAGAATGAAAATGATATTGAGAGTGATGGTGAAACAGCGTTGAATATGTACCAACCCCAAGGTATTAAAATGAATCAAATGCAAATAAGACTAGAAGCAGTTAACGACACCGACTGTTTGCGTAGAATATACCCACAAAGAGTCTATACACCTATTTTAAGAGAAGCCTTATTGAACAAGAAAAAAATCGACAAGGCCTAATTCCATTTTTTATAAAAAATGATGATGGGCACCGCCAGTTTTGAATAAGAGAAGAAAATTTATTTGATCAAGCATTATGTTTTACACACATAATATACATAACACTCTTATCAGTCACGTGTTACTCGTTTTCGAAACAGATTGAGTTGTCAGGTTTGTTGATTTTTCTTGACCGATTCCCCTTTTGACTTTAGTACAGAGAAAATGTCCAAAGCGTAAATGTAATCAGCATAGTTCGTCTGTGTAAAAATATATTTACAACCGTCATATGCTTGTCGCGATTCTAGTACAGATCGTTAAACTAACAGTGCGTATCATGTAGCGCATCAAATAATACGTATATTGCTGAGTAAATCAGATATAAATTCGGAATAATTAGGAGTACAATATTTAAGAGATATAAACGACTGAATAATGAGTTGGTTGTTTACAATATTATAGTGCATGCTACCAGATAACAATTACAAATAAATAATAATAATAATAATAATAATAATAATAATAATAATAATAATAATAATAATAATAATAATAATAATAATACAAATAAGTTCGCTGATTCTGTTCTAAACTTTTTGGATTACGGCATTCCCATGATGTGTCATTGGAAGGAAAAGATGTATAATAATAAGGTTATTACGAAGGTACCTCAAAGTATGCACTCAGATAGTACGCCGTCGCTCAGATTGTTATTAGCAGCATTGAAAAAGTAATCTGTAAACTTAAAGCTTGGATGGTCATAATCAGAAGAGAGGTATCTCTGAATATATTCAAGCTGCATGGTGTGAATACGTGTAGGCAGATGAGTGACATTTTGACCACATTTTCCCAAAAGCATGTATAATGTTTCGGCTGGAATCCAATGGCGCCCGTGCCATAGAAAGTTAATAAATGATTTTTGGAATGATGAAATGATATCAGGTGGTGGGGATAAGATGTGGAGTCTATATAACAATTGCGACGATACGCCCTCTATAGGATATACTGGGCGCAAAATGAGACCAGAACTCAATTTTATTCTCAACCGTTTGCAGTAATTCTGTCCAGTGTTTTCGATAGGCCTGGTAAT